TCCCTACGACATTGCGGTGCCCTACTGCACGCCCGCCTCCCCCCCCCCCCCGTCGTCGTGTGTGGGTGATTGGCCCCAGGCTTCTGCGGGGGGCGGGGGCAGAAACAGGCACGGGGGGCAGGGGAGAACCGCCCTCCAGCACTCACTGCAGCAGAGCAGACTGGGGCTGGGTCGCTCCACTTCCTGCCACCTGGTGAGTGCAGGGCGCCCGACCCCTGCTGCAGTCCCCCAGCATGTAGCTCAGGGGAAGGGGTGGAGTGGGGGCAGGGCTGGGGCGGAGCAGGGGTGGGAAGAGGAGGGGCAGGGGCAGAGCAGGGGCAGGGGCTATGGGGAAGGAGTGGAGTGGGGGTGGGGTAGGAGCGGGGGCAGCTTTCCTGGCCAGCTCAGCTGGGCGGGCGATCAGGCTGGCCACTGGAGCAGCATGCAGCTGCGTAGTTTGTGTATGGGTAAGGATGGCCGTGGTTTACAGTTTGGTTCAATGGCTCTCAGCACCGCCACTATAAAAATTGTTCCAGCACCCCTGGCCATGTGACTTTGTTGACCAGTCATACAGTTCAAATGGTGAATTCTGCATCTAAAATACTCAAAGAGCACTTGCTGTGAACAGTTTATAAAACACCCACAGGCACAAAGGTGTTTTTAAAAATTAATCACCTAACTATAACAAACAACATGGACATTTATGAAAATCCTGATCGGTTCATGGACAGTCTGAGAACAGAAAAAAGGGCCAAATTTGACACACAAATGGCTTGTGGCAAATAGTTTGACCATCTCTAGATTCAGCATGGTCTATACATTTCATGTTCCAGGTTTTGTGCTCATAATGCAAACTGATCATTATTTTTATGATTAAGGCAACAAGAGCAGCGCTTGCAGCAGAAGAGTCAAAGGTTGAGAGACTGAAGGCTCAGCTTAAGGAATTGTTCCGGTTTTCACAGAATATACAACCACTCTCTGACGGTGTTGTAGCCGCAATACGGGAATATCAAAGGTATTTATCAGTGGGGAATGTGGGTGGGGTCGGCTAGCAGTTTGACATAAAACTTCACTGGGGACCGAATGGCTCCAAGAATCAGCAGGGGCCTGTGGAAAAAGTGCAAGTTAGACTGACCTTAGGTGGCAGAGTCACAAAGGGTTTGGGGGGTTTTCTTTTGTTTTTCTTTTTTACTGGTGATAGCCACATCCCACATTTCAGTTAACTTTGCTGCCTTGGGACCAGTTCCTGGAACCTTGCTGAGAAGCATTGACTCAGGAGAAGTCCCAGAAGAGCTCAACTCCCGTTTAGGCACCAAAATAAATAGCCAGTTTTTCAGAAGAGCTCAGTCCATTGTGCGTTGGCCTCATTTGGCATTCCGGCTAGAAGTGTTGCAACATGAGCTGCTCAGTGGCTGAATACTTCCATAAATCTGGCCCTAGTTCTGAGTGCTAGAAAATCTCTTTCTTAGGGCCCAAGCCTGCTTCCATTGAGGTGAGTAGGAGTTTTGCCTCTGACCTCAATGGGAGCGAGATCATGCATTTACATGTTAAAAATAGCAAAGGAAACTGATCTTTGTGGTTTCTCTGATGTAGTGGGAAGATTTGACTGTGTGTACAGTATATTGTCAGGCTCCATAATGGTTTGGAACACAAATTCCTTATCTCCTGCTCTTGGATCCCTCTCTTGCTGTACTGTGTATAGTCTGGATGAAATATTTGGTTTGACTGCTTGTTTTAGCATTGTAGAATCAGTATTTTTATTTTTTGATTGCTTTTCATGCTCAACTAAAAATCAGACTGGGAACTGTTGTTGTAAATGGTTTGGCTGAATTACTGCAGAGTGCACATGGCCTTTTTCTGGGAGGTTTGTTTTGATGAATCATTCCCCTCCCAGTTATCTGTCAGGGCTTATTCTAGCTTCTCTGACTACCTACCTCCTGTTTCCTGTTTCCATTTTCGGGCTGGAAACATTGCAAATCTAGCCTCTCCCTGTGCTTTAGCACTTCCGCTTCCAGGCTGTCTGGAATCAGGAAGTTCAGAGGCTGCAAGTAGCAAACTTCAAGAAAGGATCAGTCTGGGAAGGGAAAAAGAAGGTCAGTTTATTTTTATTGTATCTAAACTGGTTTTCCTATCCCTAGAGCAGACTGTGCTGGCAAATGGAAAAAGATTGGAGGAATAAAATTGATGCAGAAAAGCAAGCACTTCACATTAAAAAAATTAAACAAACTGGGATTTATTTTCCACTGAAGAACAACTATAGGAGACTTAAACTTGCCTCTGATCAGAAATCAGTGACTGTTTAATGAGTTGCCAGCTTTTCCCATTACTCCTGCTTCTTTGAAAGGCGTGGCAAAGTCACAGGCTGCTGCTGGCAGAGGCTGTAGAGTGGATGGCAAAGGAAGTAATAACAGAGATTTCCATCTGTGGATTTCAGGGCCCTCAGAAAGCTAAGCTCATTGCAGACACCCCTGTGACATGTGGGTAACTAGTATTATCTCCATTTCAGAGAGGGGGAAGCAGATGCAGAAAAGTGAAATTAGCCAAGATTGCATTGGAAGTCTGTGGTATAACTAGGAGTTGAATTCTAGTCTCTTGATTCTCATTCCTGTGTCTTAACAGAACAATGTTTCCTTTTATGCGTAAACTTTATACTGCAAGATGTTCCTGACTTCAGGATCCAAGGTCAGGAAAGCATAGGGAAGTAGGAGATAACTGTAGGGGGATCTGCCACTGGGAAGGGAACTGCATAAGTTACTCTCACAACCCCACAGCATTTAGGACCAGCCTTCATACTGGGAACCTGGATATTTAAACCATATATTAGTTTAATGAGTGTTTGCTATTTTAATTTATCCACTGATTTAACTTGACACACAAATGATTCTAAGAAGTTTAAGAAATCTAGAATGAAAGACCAGGAAAATTTATTTGTGTCTCCTTTATTCTGGGCAATTTTGGGTTATCAAACATTTATTTTTGTGTGTGTAAAGATTAAAAAAAAATTTAAAAATGGACCAAAACTCCCTTTTCACCTTTTTATGTATAAATGCTAAAGGGGGGGTGCAGCTAAACGCTAGGTTTCTTAGATGTACGTACATGGCTTGTTTCTCCCATCCATCAGCCACATTGTTCCTTTGCTCTTACTTGGTGGATAATACTGAAGGTAACAAACGGAACACAATGAGATTGTTTGGCATTGGAACTGCCAGGCCAGATTTCATCCCTGGTACATCTCCACTGATTTCAGTGGAGTTGGAGCAGAGATGAATGTGTCCCTCCAGATCTAAGCAGGGTTTGTTGGACATCTGACTGGCAGAAGCAGCTGCCTAGTAAAGGGTGGACAAAGCCAGGAGTACACAAGGAGAAAACTGAGGTTCTTTGTGTTGGGTGGAGCAGGCACACGAGGATTGTGCTATTTTGTCCCTCAGTGAATTGCACATTTAGCTAAAGATTTCACTTTAATCATTCTCTCCATTATCTGCTTATTCTTGCAGGGTCAAGGGAAAGACATTTAAAATGAGCACTGGGACTGAAACTGAGCTCAGGCAGAGTTTTCAAAATCCACTGCGAGAGTTCCAGCTGTGGAAGCCATCAGCTCAGAGACTTCTGGACTCCACTGCTAACGTTGCTGAGCCCTCCCTGACACATGCTTTCTTACTTCAGATTGAGGTAGAGAGTTGCAGCTAAGTTAGGAAGCCAGTATCTTGTTCGCACGGCACAAGCTGTAGTGACATGTGCACGAATGCAGCTGTCTGATGGCGACAACTGAGAATGTTTTCCAGTTCCTGTAGGAAATAACACACTGCTGAAACTCAGGCCTACATCTTCACTAATAGTAACAAAATCACATCATTTTGAGCATTCTATGTAATGAGCTAGAATTGCCAGTTGAGTAAGAAATGTTATATAAGAGCTAAGTGCCTTATTATTGCCTTTGGCAGTAACCCCAAATCCATCTGGGTTGGAAATCTGAGAACTCCATTAATACTTTTCTAATAATATAGTTTAGAGATGAAGATGCATAATTGCTGCATGCACCCATGAATTGAGTAGTGATGGCGAAACCCTCACTCCTTGGATCTCTGGACTAAATGCTTTCATAAACAGGGATCAAACTGAACCATAACTCTGATAAGACAGTTTCATGTCAGGCCCCTGTAGCTGAGTAGGCTTCCTTCATGCAGGTCAGCAAAGCAGCTGCAGAACCAAAGAAGCAGTCCGGTTTATATAAAAGAAATATTGTGAGCAGAGTTTACTCCTTCCTGATGCAGTTTGTGGTATAGCAGCCTGAGTCATACATTGTACCAGGACTGGAGTAGGCCCGCAGAGCCCTGCAGTGTTGCCCACAGCTTCCTCCTTTTAAGAGTGTAGACGACAGATCCCAGCAAACAATGCTTCACCTTGATGCGAGCAGCCAGGCTTCATGCTGAGCCATTGGGCCTCATCTCCATATTCGGGATGAAGGTGACTGCAATTGGGTCCCTTTATTTTAAAAAAATGAGTGCTGCCCTGAGGGTTCTGGCAAGTTGCTGAGTTGGCTCTCGGCTGGGCATACTGTGGGTGCCTTGTGGTATAGCAGGTATGCTCAAGATACTGTTGTCCTACAGTCATGGCCTTGCTGTTTTTCTTTGCATTTGTCACCTGATCCACTCATGTAGCCCTTGGTGTTCCGATTTCACTAGAAGAATTGTTCTCCTGTAGGCATGCCTGGCTCAGAGCTCCCAATTCAAGGAGCAGTTGATGATGTTACAGCTGAAGAAGGATTTGCTAAGCAGTATCTTTGGTGAGGAGAGAGCAAAGTCTCTCCTTGTGGAAGTAACCGATATGGCAAAGGAGAGAGAAATTCTACACAAAAGTCTGCTGCAAAGGAGAAGCAGACTGCAGGTGAGCAGTTAATATTAAGTTCACTCCAAGGCCTGCTTACTATTTAATATCCATGCCAAAGATTGTGATTAATCTTTTATTAATCCAGATTTGTATAAATAAATTCACGAATACTAATCAACTGTGTCTGATGCATTTTGTAGATTAATAGAAACGTAGATTATTGTGCAGGGCAGCTGCTTATTTGCTCAGAGTGTCAAGTAGACCCTCACAAAATAATATAACTGTAGTTATATTGAGTGCTCTTTTTGCTCTTTCTGCCTAGAGTTTGGTAACTCAACATAAAGACTTTGACGCAGGCTTTGTGCCTCTGCAGAAGAAGTTATCTGCTATCAGAGCCAAAGTAGATCTAGAGAATGAACCACAACCTGACCTTTTAGGTAAAGAAACACGACTCCAGAGACTACAGGTATGTTACAATGATGGTTATCTATGCTACTTGCATGTTAATCATGTTCACGTTGGCAGATGGCCTGACTGATTTATTTTCCTTCTAGGCAAAATGTATAATTTATTAATGTCAGAAGTACCGGGGCAAGGAGAAGCCCTTCTTTGCTTGACTTGTCACACCAGTCTGATTCTAGATTATCTGATTCTAGAAAGATGTTTTTTCTATGATAAATGTATACAGCCTGGTTCTGATCTCACAGTGGTGAGAATCGGGGTTGGGAATTGGGATATTTTCTGTAGTGCAAAGAGAAACGAGCGACACAGCTGGGTCAACCTAACTTTTTAGTGCAGACCTGGTCTCAGTGACAGCAAAATCAAGTTCTTAAATTGCTGCTATTTTGATGCTATTGTACCATTTGTGGTGCTTTAATTAGCCTACTAGCAGCAAGCATGCTATCACTTGGCTTCTTTGTAATCAGCTGCTAATGTATCAGAAAGCCTGCTGGCTTCTTTTGTAAATTTTCAGTTCTAGGCATCAGAAACTAAATTGCTTTAAAATTAGTTATTTTTCTTTAATACATCTCATGCTGTCAAATGGAACCAACTTCAGAATCAATGTTCTCACCTGTCTTGTAGGGCCAAATCGTGTTCAGTATGTAAGTAGCCAATGTACAGTATTCCTTTTTTTCTATAGATGATCCAAGAAGAGTTGGCAGAGTTTATAGTTCAAATGGAAGAGCTGGAGAATCTAGTTCAATCTAATCCCACCCACAGGCATAAAATGAACCAGCTTTCATCTGACTATCAGATACTGAAGAGATCTCTGGAGGTAACTCATCATTTAGTGGAGAATTTAAAGTGGCAACTGCGAAAATTATCCTTTCACATTATCATAATGTCTGCTTTCAACCGCTGACATTTTCTGTTAGCGGAAGGCAGGGGCTGAGTTCTTATGGCCTTGATAAATCTTTAAACATTCCCCAGTTTTCTCTGTTTTAATCTTCCTCACCCTACATTGTGGCCATCATCCTACCAACTGAGGCTACACTTAGATGTTGAAATATTTTGGTTGTGGGAGCAGGGAATTTTTACCTATATAGTAACCACTGCAATTACATCTACAGTGGATGCAGTTAGACCGTACTGCTCTAAAACACCTTTATACCAGTATATTTCCCTTTATATAATAATAAATGGAGATATTCTATCTCCTAGAATTGGAAGGGACCTTGAAAGGTCATCAAGTCCAGCCCCCTGCCTCCACTAGCAGGACCAAGTACTGATTTTGCCCTAGATCCCTAAGTGGCCCCCTCAAGGATTGAACTCTCAATGCTGGGTTTAGCAGGCCAATGCTCAAACCACTGAGCTATCCCTCCTCCCGTCCCATTCTATATGGGAATAGGTTATACCAGAATAAGCACCTTTATACCAATATAACTGTGTCCACACTAGTGAGGGTTGTACGACTTTAACTACACCAATATAGTTAAACAATACAACTTTTGTGTTCAGACAAGTCATGAGGAGTGGATAGACTCCCCTTTAGAGTCTATAAACACTACTATGTGTTGGTTTGGAAAGTCTCAATTGTGCAGTGTGAGGCTCCCCACTCTGTGGGACTGAATCCATTGCTGAGTGTCCAGATCTTTTTGGCTTGGGCTCATGCAATGTTCTTGGGATTTGCTGCATAGGGCATTTAGTACTGGGTCATCTGGAAGGTTTATCGCAGGCTTTATAAGACCTAAAAGTTAATGGACCAAAACCACTGCGGTTACATCAAGGACTGATTTGACCTAGGTCAGGGGTTCTCAGCCTTTTTCTTGCTGAGGCCCCCCTCAGCATGCTATAAAAACGCCACGGCCTAGCGGGGGAAGAAGGGGGAGCGCTGGGCTCCAGGCCGGGGGAGGACCCTTGGGCATAGGCATAGTTTTACTTCTATTTTGTGGGGGGCAAGGGGTGGTGGGGCTTGAGCCAGCTCTGCACAGCATGGTCCAGGGATGGAGTGCCACCTCCACCCACTGACTCACTCAGGAAACCACCAGTCTGTCTGGGCTGAGAAGGGATGTAACCAAAAAATATAACTCAAAGGGGGACTCAGTTCAAAACGTTTGAAAACCGCTCAGGGTGCAGGGAGGAGGTAGCTATGGCCTGTGTGTGAGCAGGGGGGGTAGCTCAGGGTGCAGGCAGGGAGGGAGTAGCTGGGGCTGTGTGTGGGCAGGGGAGTAGCTCAGGGTGCAGGGAAGGGGGTAACTGGGGCTGTGTGCAGGCAGAGGGATAGCTCACGGTGCAGGCAGGGCATAGCTAGGGGCTGTGTGCAGGCAGGGGGGTAGTGTACAGGGAAGGGGTAGCTAGGGGCTGTGTGTGGGCAGGGGAGTAGCTCACGGTGCAGGCAGGGGGTAGCTAGGGGCTGTGTGCAGGCATGGGGGAAGTGTACAGGGAAGGGGTAGCTAGGGGCTGTGTGTCGGCAGGGGGGTAGCTCACAGTGTAGGGAAGGGGTAGCTAAGGGCTGTGTGTGAGCAGGGGGTGTAGCTCAGGGTGCAGGCAGGGAGGGAGTAGCTGGGGCTGTGTGTGGGCAGGGGAGTAGCTCAGGGTGCAGGGAAGGGGGTAACTGGGGCTGTGTGCAGGCAGGGGGATAGCTCACGGTGCAGGCAGGGAGTAGCTAGGGCTGTGTACAGGCGGGGGGGGGCTCCCAGTGCAGCTCCCAGCTTCAGGGCGGAGCATTGAGGCTCCCAGCTTCAGCCCCCTGCTACTCCTGGCTTGGTGAGGAGGGGAGGTTTGCCAGTTTCAGCCCTGCACTGCTCCCAGCTGGGGGGCGGGCGGTGCCGATTTTAGTTCCACACCACGCCCGTCTTAAGCACTGGGGCTTGGGGCACCAGGTTTTGGCCTCGGGGCTCCGCGGCCCCCCTGAAAGGGCTCACGGACCCTCAGGGGCTCGCAGATCCCCAGTTGAGAACTGCTGACCGAAAGTATTTTGTTGCATGTAAAGACAGCTATAAAAATCTTCCCTCCCAAAACAAACTGAGAGCGTGTAAAATTCTCTTAGGCTAGGTCCACACTACCCGCCTGATTCGGCGGGTAGAGATCGATCTTCTGGGATCGATTTATCGCGTCTCTGGACGCGATAAATCGATCCCAGAAGCGCTCCCCCGTCGACTGTGGAACTCCTGCTCGCCGAGAGGAGGAAGCGCTGTCGACGGGGGAGCTTGCCTGCGCCGTGTGGACCCGCAGTAAGTAAACTTAGTTCGATCTAGGAAACGTCGACTTCAGCTACGCTATTCTCGTAGCTGAAGTTGCGTTTCCTAGATCGATCCCCCGCCCCAGTGTGGACCAAGCCTTAGTTTGCTATGTCACTAAAAAAATTATCCGTAATAAAATTTGACTCTAATATGCTAGGGAATTCTAGTTTTTAATCACAAATAGTAAACAAATATATCACTAAAATAGTATTTTTCCAGGTAAAAGTACCATATGGCAGATCCCTTTCTATTATATCTAGTGTGACTTTGCATGCAAAGAGGGGAGGAGGCAGTACTTAGTTCAGATACTAAAATATAGGATTTTTCACTTTGAGTCATCTGTAAAGAGGGAAACTATTCTAATACATAATGCCCCACCATGTGGCTAAGCTCAGATCTGCAGGAGCTTGTAGATATCCAGTTAGGAGTTGCATTCCATGTCATGGTACTAAACAGCTAAGAGTTTCTGCCTTTCATCCATATTTTTATTTCCTCTCTTTGTGTTTCTATAGCATCCGTCGCCATAGTCTCTCTTGTGAAGCCTGCTGTTTCTTTGTGTTCTATCACTGATGTGTTTTGGTGACTCCTGGTATTTTTAGATCATCCTGGCGCGGACTGAGAAGCACGTTCGGGAGCATTGGACGTTCAATAACAAACTGTCAGACCTTCAGCGGTGGATCACAATGACTGAACAGAAGTTGGAATCCTATCAGGATGCCAGTGGGGAAAGGAACACGGAGAGCAGAGTCGCAGACCTGGAGGTGAGGACCACATCTTGGCATATGATGTCATCATCCATTTGCTTTTGTGATTGAAGCAGCAGGTAGATGTTTAGGGGAAGTGGTGTGTTCCCCTGGACTCCATTTCCATTTGCATTTGCCATGTAAACTGGTGGACAGAAGATTCCTACTGCCTAACTGGACTGCTCTATGATGAGTGCATGATGATCTGGGTGGTTAGGGCAAAAGAAGCATCAAGCTTCTGTTGAAATGTTTGCAGCATCATTAAAGGAAAATCCAGTCTTGAAAGTGAATTCCTCCTGGCAGGATGGTTTCTCCAGACACACAGCAATGTAGCATTAAATGGTAGGTTACTCTACTGGTTTATCCTACATTGCATTTATTTGTGCAAAAGGGAAAATGTCCCCGTTCCCACAGTTGCTCAATTTTCCCTTCATGGAAATACTTTGGGGTCAGATTCACTCATACTGGTGATTTACACTTCCTGTGCCAGCCTGGGCTGATTGGCCCTTGAGCGGGAAGCAGCAGCTTTAATTTCCATTGGGGGCTCCAGAGAAGCCCCACAGTGTTACCCTGCAGCAGGGACGTACTAGCTACACCTCTTCCCTAATCCCATGCTACCCACTTCTTGGGCTTTGCTGGATTCCTCCAGGAACCCCTAGCAGATTTTGCTGCTGGGGACCCATAACTAGTGTAGTGCCAAGAGAAACGAGCCTAATCCTGGGCTGAACATAGCCCTTCATTTGACACGGTATCCTGCATTGTGGTAAAGCTTCAGAAATAGCAGCGACACCTGAAAGTGACTGTGAGTGCTGTGAATTTCAGGGGCTGCTAGCTGAATTCCCAAGTAAAGAGATCCAGTTGCACCTTGTTGGGGCTCATGGCCAGCTGGTGATTGAGAGTTCTTCCCCAGAGGGGGCAGCACATGTCCATACTGAAATGAACCAGCTGACAGAATCTTTGAGATCACTCAAAAAAATGACAATCAGGTAAGTGTTCATATATGTCTTTCCCATGTCCCTTCAAGGGGGATTCTCTCTGCTGCTCTATAACCAGCCCTGCAAACGCTAAGCCTAAAGGAGTATTGAAAGTTAGGAGCTGTGCTTAATTCTTGTTTGACTGCAGTGGAGTTACTCCTGATTTACGCTGGTGTAAGAAGGTGGAGACTCAGGCCAACTGTGTCTATGACCTGCACAGTACCTCTTCTCAGACTTCAGCCAGGATATTGTGGTCTGTGAGCAGACACTGTACCTGGCAAATCTCCCTTAGGCCTGAGCCAACAGGAGCTTTGCAGTACTTGAGTCAGGAAATAAGGCTTTGGATGAGAGTGTTGCAGAAGTGAACAGAGAGAAAAGTCTGGATCTTGGAGAGGTTATGGAGGAGGAAGGGGAGGCAAGACTTGGATATTGCCTGCATATGTGGGGCTAGGGAGAGAGCAGAGTCAGAAGTGCCTCTGGGCTTAGAGACCTGAGGGTGACATTGTTAGTGATGGCAGAGAAGAGGACTTAGGTGGGGGGAGTTGAGACGCTCACCAAGGCACGGTGATAGCGTGTCTAGGTTAATTATCATGATCCGCCACCCCAAACTGACACAGTCTCCACCTCCCCTGTATCCTTCAAGCATTAGTAGGAGATAATGAGACTCTGAGCTGTGCCTCTTGCAGCCACAGCAAACGAGCTGTAATGGGGGTGACAGTTTCACACAGTTTTGTGTTGAAACCTCATTAGATTTCAGAGCATGGCTCCCAAGGATAAACAATTCAAATTAAAGCCGTTCAGAAACAAGCCAAGCCAAACACACACACACACACAGAGTTCACTCTTTAATTAGGTCTTGCCGGCAGTTAAGTGTCACTTTGGAAGACATTCTTACCCCTGCCATTACCAGATGCCTTGGCTGTTACCTGTCAAGGAATGCTGCTTAATTAGAACCACACATTCCCTCTCCGTCTCTGCGGTGAGCTCCTGGGTTCTTTTACAAGTGGTTTGTCTGGATTACCACGTGCTTGGGAGGAGTTCTCCGGCTCTCGAGATTTCTGTTGGTGACCTAGATTTTGTTGAGAAATACACAAAGAAATAACAGGTTGCTCACCTGCTTCTGATGATTTTTTTTTTTTTTTTTGAGCACTCTCAATTATTTTCGTTTTGGAATTTGCTCCCTCAAATGGCTCTCTCCAAATGAGACAAAAGTGCTTCTATCCATTAATGCCAATTTCTGGTTTATTTTCCACTCAGCATAAAAAGATCTTTCACATGGTATCTAACCTCACACTAGTTTTGTGACGGGTTGGACCCCCCTTCTGGGATGCCATCTGATGTACTGGGATTTCACTGAGCCTGCCTGTTCCACTAGCCTGGGCTCCCTCTCCCTGTTTTGCTGAATTAGGCTCTCCGGCCTCTGGCAGCATACGCACACACATAGGTAGGGATGCACCAGCTATAGAATCACACAGAGTCCGCAAACAGAAGACTCAGCTAGGAAATTGCCCAGCACTCAAGTGCAGCTCCCCTCTGGAAAGTCTACCCAAAATAATATTATCTTGCGCTGTAGAGAAATCTATACAACGTAAGCTCATAAATTCGACCCCTCCCTCAATGTGGAGGAAGATATGCACAACTTCTTGTCTCTCCTCCTCCCCCACCCCGCCCAGTTAGAAATTGTACAAACTGGGTTTAATAATAAACAAAAATAAGTTAATTAACTATAAAAGGCAGATTTTAAGTGATTATAAGGGATAGCAAACAGAACAAGGCAGATTACTAAGCAAATAAAACAAAACATGCATACTAAGCTTAAGATCTTAGAGAGACTGGTTTCAAGAAATAATTTCTCACCCTAAATGTTGTTTTAGGCAAGTTGCAGAGTTTCTGTAGCTTACAGTTCCAGTTATTTCTCTTTACAGACTAGACTCCTGTCTTAGTCTGGACTCAGCCCTTGCCTTTCCCACTGCCTAATTCCTTTGTCTCTTCAGGTACTTTCAGCAGTCTTTCTTCTTGGGCAGGAAGGCAATGGAGAAGAGTCTTGTTTTCCTTACTCTCCAGCCTTAAATAAAATTTACATACGGTGGGAATCTTTTGTTTCCCAGTTTTGACCTCCCCTCCTTTTAGTGGAAAATTACTAGAAGTCCAAGAGGGTGTTTAGTACCAGGTGACAGGCCAACTGACCTAGTAGTGTCAGCCTCTCAGGAAGGAGAGAGATTAGTATTTTCAAAGTCTTATTGTTTCTTCGTAATGACTCATCAAGGCTGATGGCCTTTTGTCTGGTGGGTGTCTCCCAAATACACACACAGTTGTAATTGTTACATAGTCAATATTCCTAACTTTCGATACAGAAATGATACATGCATACAAATTGGATAATCACATTCAGTAAATCATAACCTTTCCGATGATACCTTACAAGACCCATCTTGCATAAAATATATCTGTTATGACATAAGCATATTTCCATAAAGAATATGGGGTGTAATGTCACAAGCTCCCTCTGGCTTTCACTCAGCCCTGACCTAGAACTTCGAACTTGTCTCTCCCTTCCCGCCAAACACTCTTGGCTCTGCCAGTGCTACTGTCTTTTTTTTCCTTCTCCTTTTTCTATCTTCATGCCTTCTTTCACGCTTCTCCTTCCCTCCTCCTCGCAACTCTTTAACCTGGCCACCACCACTTCCTCATTCAGATCCCACGTCTGCTGTGGCACCTCTGAGAATTAAGCTAATAAAAATTGTATTAAGAAATCCACATTTAGCAAAACCCCCAAGATGTATCTGTGACCCTTTCCCTACCGTTCCCCTTACTCCATTTTTGTTTATGACCATCACTACTTGTGTATGTCCACACTGAGAGTGGGCTCCCGTCAGGCCATAGGCTGTGTAGCTGTCTGTTTGAGTGCAGTTGGTGCACTGTCGGGCTGGGTGCTCATTGAATAAAATAACCCACCAATAACAATGGCTAGCTTTCCTGACACTACGCTCTCCTGTATCTGCTATGCCTCTTCTGCAGTGCAATCCCATCCCTCGGTCCATTGTATTCCCCTGTTTTAAAGCACATTTCTTCTCTCATAGGCTGGATCATCTTCCCAGACTCATCAACCCTTTTGGCTTACTCTGAAGCCTCTAATAATAAACTAATTATCTTCAAGTCCTGCCTGCTACTGCTCCAGAGTAAGGCTTGCTAAAATCTCTAGCTACTACTGACTCACTAGGGAGCTCAGTGCAACCCACCCTTGATGTTCTGAGGCATTTCTTTCATTCATTATTTTTCAGGCTGTTGTCTGTTCTTCTGTTGGCTGCTTTAGCCTCCCCCTTCCCCTCCACCCCCGCTTCTTTTAAAATGAGCTGTTCTGTTATTGGTATGTCTTCACTGCAGAGGTAACTAGCGGTTTGCACTTGAGTTATTTCTCTCATGTTTGCCTAGCTCAAGTGAGAGCAGCTGCACTGCAAAATAATACTTGAGTTTCTGTGTCTGCACTGCACTCGTGTGGCACTGAGACTTCGTAGGACATGTCCCATGGTCACGCTGGGAATTCTTTCGCCGTGTATTGTGAGAGAGAAGGCCAAAGCTATGCTGATGTAGCAGCTGTAGTGTAGACATGACCTTAGACCTTGTCTGCACTTACATTTTATAGCGCTCTAACTTGCTGGCTCAGGGGGGTGAAAAATCACCCCCTGAGCACAGCAAGTTTGAGTGCTTTAAAGCGCTAGTGTGGACAGGCCCCGAGTGCTGGGAGATGCGCTCCTAGCACCTGGAGTTATTCCCTTTGTGGAGGTGGATTACCAGGAGCGTTGGGAGAGCTCTCTCTCAGCGCTCACACATGACCACACTCACATTTCAAAGCACTGCTGCGGGAGCGCTCCTGCGGCAGCGCTTTGAAGTTTCTAGTGTAGACGTAGCCTCAGCATTTCTGTGCCTCATTCCCCAACTGTAAAATGGGGATAATAATCTCTACTTCACAAGGATGCTGTGAGGCTAAATTCATCATAGCTGGTGAGTCAGTCAGGTATTCCCCTGATGGGAGCCATATAAGCAAATTAGTTAGAGCACTCTGCCTGCACCATGCTCCCAGTCCCTGAGGTTTGGGAATGAAGAATATGTTTGGGAGCCAAAAGTTGATCTCCTGGTGGCATTTCATTATCTGCACTTTGCTAACTGGAGCCCTTGAAAATAAAATGACAGCATCAGTGGGCACAAATTATGTATTCTAGCTATGTTAATTATGTGAGCTTTCTGGATGTACATAGATACAGCACTATACTAAATCTATAGGCAATACCAGCAGACCTTGATATTAACTGTTTAGAATATTTTAGATTGTCAAAACATAGAAACACCAAGAAACACTCCTGATATGGATCCTTAGAGGAAAGGATACTTAAAGAGGCAGAGCCTAAAATTATAGATGGGCCTGAACCAAACCCCAAGAGCCAAGCGCTTCCAAACTGAGAAAGTTTGGATCCAGCTCAGGCCCATCTCTGTGTGGTAGGGGGAAATGAGGAATGGAAGGGCTAAAGGGATGCTAGCAACATTAAAAAAAAATCACCTTCTTTTCCAAAAATATTGTACTGATAGTCATTTTAGGTGTTAACTGTAACTCAGACAATAGAGGAAAAAGGTTTCTCATGTTGTTTACTATATATATTTTGACAGTACTTTGTTGTTAATTTCACTGGTTCCCATGTGTAGTGCTTTCACACTACAATAATGGAGAGAAAATATTTTTTAAATATGCAAATGTGATTGTAAAACCCACAAAAGCTGGCAGGGACATTCAGGCTCAGGCATAGAACCTGAAACTACCTTTAACTTCCCTTTTTAAAAGGGCCTAGATTTCAAGTTGACAGTATCCCTTTCAGGGACTAGCCCATAGTCATGCAGGAAGTCTGTGGTAGACAGGAATAGAACCCAGATCAGCTGACGCCTGCTGTTGTGCCTTAACCACAAGACCATCCTTCTCTTCTGAAAGTACATCAACTGTACTTTTCCAAGGAGCCACTTCTGGAGTTGGCTCTTAATGTTTTGCAACATGCTAAGCAGAGCTAATCTTCTTTCTTACCTATCTATTCTCATTGTATTTATAGCAGCGTTCACTATAGTACCTAGCGCTATTCAGATTTGCTGGTCCTTGCTGTACTTCTAACAAAGTGCTGTGCATGCGAATGTGCCCATATTCACACAAAAATAACCTGCACCAACTTGTACAGTGTGGAGCTACATTTATATGATTAGGGTTACTGGTGATGCTCCAGTGATTACTTGCTACCAGAAAAGCCTCTTGGTACCCTAATCAGCCAGACATGACCCCAGTAGAGTGAGGGGGCACCAGAACTGCTACATGGGACAGTAGTGGGGGGGCATCCAAGTTTGAGTCCCGTGCTTTTTCATTTGCTTTCCAGGGGCTTGAAGCACTGTAGAGACAGGGGGCTCAAGATGGTGCAAGGAGGGAGAATGTCAAGGAAATCAACAGACAGGCTTTAATACTTCAGCCTATCAGTGGTGTTGCTTGTGCAGAGAAGAGTGTTGTTCTGATAACTTTCCTTAAAGAGCTACAAGTCAGCTCTAGCCCTGACTACTACGAATACTTTGTAACACTGGTTTCAGAGTAGCAGCCGTGTTAGTCTGTATCCGCAAAAAAGAAGAACAGGAGTACTTGTGGCACCTTAGAGACTAACAAATTTATTAGAGCATAAGCTTTCGTGGACTACAGAAAGCTTA